AAAAAAAAAAAAAAAAAGAAAGAAAGAAAGGAAACAAAAAGGATGCCTATATCACCACCACCTGAGGAAATTCCCCAGGTCTTTGACCTCCTCCCTGAAACTCTTACTAGGGAGTCCCAGAGTCATTCACAAATCATTCTTTGCTCAGTTAAGCTATTGATTTTTAAATTTGTCTAAAGTTTTGTTGTTGTTGTTGTTTTGGTAGGAGTCTCACTCTGTCACCCAGGCTGGAATGCAGGCGATCCTTCTGCCTCAGCCTTCCAAGTAGCTGGAACTACAGGTGTGCGCCACCACGCTCGGCAAAAATTTTTTTTTGTTATAGAGACGAGTTCTCGCCATGTTGCCCAGGCTGGTCTCAAACACCTGGGCTCAGGCAATCCTCTTGCCTCAGCCTCCCAAAGTGCTGGGATTACAGGCTAAGCCATTGTGCCAGGCTCCCTTTGTGTCTTTTTCTTGCACACTTAGGTGGGGGAAAAAAATCATTGGCTAAATTGATCTAGGGGAGCTTGGAGTGAAAGCCAAGATTAAGTATACAAATAGGATCCTTAATTTCCAGAGAACTGAGTACTCAACCTTCTGGCTCTTCCTATATTTACATATATTATAAAATATTAGGCTCTAGCAGCAAGCAAACAAAAATGATGAAATCTTACTAAAGATAATTTAAAATTTGGAACATTCCAAATGAACAATGCTGCACTTTACATAGTACATTTTACAATGAGGACTCCCAGATTAGGTTTATCCTGGGATGCCTATTGATGTCCAGAAGCTCCTAAATATTTCAATATTTTTATTGCCTCTTTTAAAAGGCTTTTTACAAAAAGTAAATAAAAAGTTTAAGCTAGACTGATAAGAAAAATTGAATCTGCTAATCTTTTCACTTAGTTGTTAGCTCACCCTGAAGGTAAAAAAAAAAAATCTGAATAGGCTGGCCATGGTGGCTCATGCCTGTAATCCCAACACTTTGGGAGGCCAAGGTGGGGGGGATCACAATCACTTGAGCTAAGGATTTCAAGATCAACTGGGCAACATAGGAAGATCTTACCTCTATTTAAAAAAAAATTAGACAGGTGTGGTGGTGTGTGCCTGTAGTCTCAGCTACTCAGCAGGCTGAGGTGGGAGGATCACCTGAGTCCAGGAGGTTGAGGCCACAGTGAGTTGTTGAAAGGGAAAACTGAGGCAAGGTGGGCCGGTGCCATGGGAAAGAGGCAAAGAATTGCAACACAGAGAAAGTAAAGTTGATTATCCACTTTCCATAGACAGAAAGGAGCCAGCACTCATAGGTGAGCATAGCCTCAAAGGCTGGGGAACTGGGTCAGTTTAAAGCTCTTGGAGAGGAATTTTGGGCTAAGGAAAATGTTTAAAGTTGCACTTTTTGATGCAGATAACAGAAATTGCGTAAGTCTTGTGTCTTGACGTCACCAGGCACTGGTATCTCATGACTCCAGGTGGTGGCTGGAGGCCAGTCACGGTAAACTAATAACAATACATCA